CTGGCACCGCGCCCCCGCCGCTGGGGCCCGGGGGCTGGCCGGCCCCCCGCCTCTGCTGCTGGCTTCGGCCTCCCAGAGGCCGGTGCTCTTCCATTGGTTTGGTGGCCGCTTTGAGAGGCGCACAGACATCCCAGAGGCCGAGGACGTCTATGCCACCAAACACTTTCAGGCCGGTGGAGACGTGTTCCTGTGCCTGACTCGATACATTGGGGACTCCATGGTGAGCCTGGGGGCAGGCGGTGGAAGCCAGGCCTGATCACACCTGCTCACCCTCATTTGACAGGGGGCTGGACCGCTGTTTCCGCACAGCCTCTCACTGGCGAATTCCAGGCATGGTTTTGATCCATCACTGAGCCTCCCCCACAACCCATCCCTCATGAATTCCAGGCGAGCAAGCCCCCCCCCCCAAGCCACACTCCCAGCCCCTTTCTAGTGAATTTCAGGCATAAGCTCCACAGCTGAGCTGCAACTCCCAGCCCTCAGCTGCTGAGTTCTAAGTGAGAGCTGGCCTCCTCAACTACAGCCCGAGGCGGAGACCCGGAGAGGGTTTTAATGATGTAGTCCAGTCTGGCCTCAAGCTCATGATTCAGCCCTGTGCAGGCATAACAGGAATGTGCCAACATGACCTGCTCCGCTGAACTTATTCTACTCGGCTGAGCTTGTCTCTGTAACTCTAGAACATTCTAGGGAGATAGTGAACTCCGACCACACCCTTCCCTTGGGATGCTACACCCTCGAGACTGAGCTGGTGTTAGATCCTGTTCACCACCTCCGGGGCTCTCTTTTCAGAAAGAGGCAGAGTCAGGGACAGACCCCCCCCAACTCAGTTATTTGAGGGGTCTCCAGGGGAAAACAGTGGAGCTAAGAATGGGTGTCAGGGATCAGGCTGGAGAAGGTGGAAGCTGGGTCGGGGTGTGGCCAGAACAGATGGGATGAATGTAAAATCAACAGACCATTGCTGGCGTGGCACCTGAAGGAGACAGAAAGGTCTGGAACAATGACCTGCTCTGAGCAGATAATGTTGTCTATGCATTAAGAAAGCTGCTGGGCATCGTGTTGGTGTTACAGGCTTGTCATCTCAGTACCAGGGAGGCTGAGGTACAAAGACTGTGAGTCTGAGGCAGTCAGCACCAACACGACTCTCAAAAAAAAAAAAAAAAAAAAGAAAAGAAAAGAAAAAGAAAAAAAAATCTACCATGTAACTGAGGACCTACAGGCTCATGTTAGGACTTGAGGCTGACAGGCAGGCCCAAGGCCCCTGACCCAGGCTCTAACTAGCTTTCCCACCCTGCAGGTCATGCGCTGGGATGGTTCCATGTTCCGCCTGCTCCAGCAACTTCCGTCTCGAGGGGCCCACGTCTTCCAGCCGCTGCTGATCGCCAGAGACCAGTTGGCCATCCTCGGCAGCGACTTTGGCTTCAGCCAGGTCTTCCGCCTTGAGCCAGATAAAGGGATCCTGGAGCCACTGCAGGAGCTGGGACCCCCGGCCTTGGTGGCCCCCAGAGCCTTTGCCCAAGTCACCGTGGCGGGAAGGCGCTTTCTCTTCGCTGCGTGCTTCAAGGGCCCCACGCAGATCTACCAGCACCACGAGTTGGATCTCAGTGCCTGAGGCTCTGCAGCACCCTGGAAGTGGCTGTGGGGCTGGCAAGGGCTTCCTGCGACATCTGGGTACCCTCTCGGGCCTGGCCTCCTGGCCGTCACAGTCAGTCCTGTGCGATGCTATCCAAATCTATCAGCCTGGGTCAGGCTTAGCCTACCGTTTGAAGGATGGGCACCCTAGGGGCAAACGGGAGGAGGTCCCTCTGCTCCCAACAACGTTTGGGGCCCTGGCAGTCTGAAGCCACATTTTG